CCGTTTTTCATGTTATAAAAAATTGTGAATTTTTGGAAGTTGAATGATTTAAAAACCTGAAATGACTCAGGATTCTGAGATACTATAAATGCATGTATCCCAATGACCAGAAAGAATAAATGTCCTTTAAAATAAACTAGACACACTTTATGAAATTTGCCAGCAATCTCAAGTGTAGTGAAAAACTACTCCATTGGCACCCAGGATGTAGCTCAGCAGTGGAGGGCTTTCTTAGGATTGATACCCCAGGGGGGAAAAGCCACTTTATTTATAGAAGTTGACTAAAATTTTCATTTATACTTTCTACTTAACTAGATTGCTCCCCCCTAGAGAAATTTTTGTTCTTCTTCTTTTGCATTTGCTAAGCAAACCATCTACCAGTGTGCTACATTGCCAACTCTAGAATAATAATAAACAAATGAGGATCAGATAATCAGATGCCTGACACAAAGTGCTGCATGGCCAACAGGAGAAAAAAAAAGTAGACAGAATTGATAAACTAAATCAGAAAATTATAGCAAGAAATTACAGCAAATAATAGAATTCAAATTGTATATTATTTAGTGATATGGGATAAGATTTTGTGTACGTAGTTATAAGCAAGGCATGAAAAATGGTTACTGTGCTGTTGGTGGTGTCTGCCACGTATATTGGCATGTTTTATTAATCCCAAATATACAGGAATTATCTAGACTAAGGGATATTTTGGTGCAAGCTCAGGGGAGAACATTTGATAAGGACTCACCTGAATTAAAGCATGATTATCTTTAGAAAACACCGAATCCCCTGACAGCAAAAGCGGCTCGCTTTTCTCACAGCTCTCCTGGCTGATGAGAGTGTCTGCATAGTTGGGCTGTGGAAAGATCAGGTGACTCTTTCTGGAGTCCGCGGTGAGCGAGACCTCGTGCGAGTAGGTCTGCAGGAAGGCGCGCACGCCGTCCACGCCCACAAACTGAGAGGCGGGCACCCCAACCAATCCCTTCCCCGCAGCCTGGTGCGCGCGCAGGGAGTGCCAGCGGCGCAGTCGGAGCGCCAGCAGCACGATGACAAAGGCCAGGAAGACGCAGGAGACCGTGGCCACTGCCACCACCAGGTAGAGCGTTAGGTTCGAGGTTTCAGGGTTGGCAGTAGATTCTAGACTGCTCAGATCGGCCAGGACGTCGGGAATGCTATCGGCTATGGCCACGGTGAGTGTGACAGTGGCTGAAAGAGGGGGCTGGCCGTGGTCCTGCACAGCCACCACCAGGCTCTGCTTGAGCACATCTCTGTCCAGCAGGGCCCGCGCCGTGCTCACTTCGCCGGTGTGCAGCCCCACCACGAAGAGCCCGGGCTCGCTGGCCTTGAGCAGGCGGTAGGACAGCCAGGCATTCTGTCCTGAGTCCTTGTCTACCGCCACCACTTTGGTCACCAGGTATCCGGGCTCTGCAGAGCGGGGCGCCAGCTCCACGCCCGTGGAACCGTCGGTGGGGAGGGTGGGGTAGAGGATTTCGGGGGCGTTGTCATTCTGGTCCACCACGAACAGCATCAAAGACACGTTGCTGCTGAGCGGCGGGTCCCCGCTGTCGCGCGCTATCACCTGCAACTGCAGGTCTCGGAACTGCTCATAGTCAAAGGATTGCAAGGCGTACAGGACCCCGGTGTCAGAGTTGATGGAGACGTAGGAGGATACGGGGACATGCTGGAGGGCGTCGTCAGCCAGGGAGTAAGTGATTTGGGCATTCTTGTCACTGTCGGGGTCATGGGCCCTCACCGAGATGATGGAGGCGCCTCTAGGATTGTTCTCTGGGATGTACGCTGAATAGGAGGCCTGAGGGAAGACAGGCGAATTATCGTTGGTGTCTGCCACGTTCAGCGAAATAAGAGTTTGGGTTGCCAGAGGCGGAGTTCCTCTGTCGGTGGCGGTCACCGTGATGTTGTAGCTAGGAACCTGTTCGCGGTCTAAGACTGTGTCTGTGACTAAACGGTAGTAACTTCCGTAAGATTTCTCTAATTTAAAGGGCAGATTCCCTTGAATCGAACAGAGCACTTGTCCATTTTCTCCAGAATCTTGGTCATTTACATTTAAAAGAGCCACTAAGGTCCCCGCGGGCGAGTTTTCGGGAAGGGAGCTGGTGAGAGAGGTGATGGTTATTTCGGGGGCGTTGTCATTCACGTCTAGAACTGTGATCAGGACTTTGGCCCGTGCAGAATACCCCGCGTTGTCCGTTGCTTGCACTTCCATTTCGTAGAGCCGCGATTCCTCGTGATCCAGCTCCCCGATTGTTGATAGGGTCCCTAACTGACTGTCTAGCTTGAAAACCCGGGCCGCCTTGTCGTCCACGTACCGGAAGGAGTACATCACTTCCGCATTGGCTCCCTCGTCCGGGTCGGTGGCGTTCACCCGAAGCAGCTGAGTGCCCACCGCCACGTTCTCGGGCACACTCGCGCGGTACTCAGATCTAGCGAACGCGGGCGCGTTGTCGTTGGCATCGAGGACTGTCACGCGGATGCGCGCGGTGCCAGTGCGGACCGGGTCACCTCCGTCCGAAGCCGTGAGGACCAGATGGTGAGCGGCCTTTTCTTCGCGGTCCAGCGTGCTCTCCAGCACCAATTCCGGGTACTTGTTCCCATCCGCTCCGTTTTGCACCTCCAGGGAGAAGTGAGTATTCGGGCTCAGCTCGTAGCTCTGGAGAGAGTTCTTCCCGATATCTGGATCCCAAGCGTGGGGAAGGGGGAAGCGCATCCCGGTGGCTGCGTTTTCACTCACTTTTATTTCTAATTCATTTTCACGGAAGTAGGGGGCATTGTCGTTAATGTCCCTCACTTCCACTTCCACCCCGTATATTTTCGCTTTATCCTCCATCAGAATCTCTAGGTTTAATTGACACTTGACCGCCCCCAGGCAGAGCTCCTCCCGGTCGATCCGGCCCGCGGTGATCAAGCTGCCGCTTCGCGGGTTCAGAGCGAAAAGTTGAGCCTTACCTCTGGAGACGATGCGGACTCCTCGCTGCGCCAGCTCCCGGGGATCCAGCCCCAGGTCCTGGGAGATGTTCCCCACCCGAGAGCCTTTCTCCAGCTCCTCCGGAACTGAATAGCGAAGCTGGGTGCCTCCAGCTTCCCGCAGGACCCCAAGGAGGACTCCCAGCAGGATCAGCCGTGAGCAGTCGCGCTGCAGTTGCAAGGGAACCGTTGTCATTTTTTTTTCGATGTTGATGACGGTGATGACGATGACGACTTTCCAATTTTGCCCTTGATTGTTGAAACCAGGCTCAGCTCTTCGGCCGCTGGAATCGGACAGTTGCAGGAGGCTAGCTGCTCTCTCTGTTCTGTTTTCTCTCGGAGATGTGCTTTTAGGCGCGTGCGAGGCTAGCGGGCTCCCTTTGCCTTTTTCTCCCTGATTGGTGAACAGCGGCGCTCAGAGTCCTAACCAATTACTACACAATCTTCAACTCCCGGAGAAGATTTTTGGTCTTTATACCTTAAATAGCTCCACCTACCGTTCTCCAAATAGAGAAACAGAGCCGACGAATCCAGCTGTGTTTGTTATAGTAGAAAGTTGAATTCTTTAAATTTTTTTCATACAAACCCACCTCCTTGAGATTGTTTTCTCTAGTTGTCCATGCATTACGACTTTTTCCAATGACCTCTTAACCAAATTTTAAGCTTCTATAAGCGATACGTTTAACTTTGTAACTGTAGTGCACCTGCTTTGAGATCCCTCCCCATCCCAACACACATATTATGGAGGACTCCTTAGGAGGTTTCTTTCATTGAGAAATTATGTAATAATTTAGCCATTTGAATTCAGCTATGATTTGGGGAAAATTTTTTTTAAAGATTTATGAATTTGCCTAAATAGAACTACTTTAACAAATTGATATTTGACACAGGAGAATCAGGTTTCCATGGTAGTATCAAAACCAAAATATAAGAAATATGATTATACACACTTTGGAATCATGTCTGGAAAGAACTGAAGACATATCAGCACTTTTAGAATAAATGGAAGCATTCCAACTTCAGTTAACTGGAAGAAATGGTAGTGCTCTACATTTCAGCTAATGTATTATATTTTAAAGAATATTTGGTGTTTAAAAGGATTTGGCAAAAGAGAATTTGAAATCTAAAGAACATGGCAAACTTATCTTCTCCTGGCTAATTCTAATTACTGAAGATTGCTGGGAATAGTTTTGAAATCACATCAAAATACAGGGAAGCATCTAATACTTTCATTAGTGTGACTACTCACATTCTGGAAAGAAGCACTTCTTGGTAGAAAGTGATGACGATTGAACTCTCCAGTGCAAAGCATGCACTCTACAACTAAGCTACACTTTAGCCCTGGTAGCCATAGAATAAAAAATATTTTTAATATTGAGAGGAACCAATAGGTGGATATGCAAAAAGATTACACATAAAGTTGACTAAGTTTCAAAGAATCCCTGATAAACCCAAATATTATCAACTTATTACCATGCCATTTTTTGAGTCAGAATAGCCCAAGCTTGCCACAACATTGCTACCCTCCCTACCTCAAACTCCTGAGGGCTAGCTAGAACTACAGATGTGAGCCACCATGCCTTGGCCATGTCATTATTTCTAACTCCTTTTTATATGCATTTCCTATTGATTTATAATTGATATAGAAAAATCTTTGTATACTCAAGATATTGCTCTCCCAAGAAACACTTATAGAAATAAATTTTAGTTCAACTAAAATTTTTGAATGGCAAGAGTATCATAATGCTTATCAGAATAATTTGTTTTGTTTTTTGTATGTGTGGATAAAGGATTTCAAAATATTTGAAGGCTAATAGAGTTACTGACCCACAGAGAAAAGTCAGGAAAATATTAAAAGTGAGCAAACAACCATGAAGCACTAGTAGATATACCCTACCTAAAGATTTTCTTGCCAACATATTGGTTTGGAAATTAAACCATACCATTTTCAAATTAAAGAGAATGAAACTCACGTGAGTAGAAGCAACAACGTTTGGGTTCATTTTGTTACTCAGTGACACTGTCAAAGAAGCTTCCTTAGAAAGATCTTGTGGTGGGACCATTTCTGGCGTCATGGTGAGAAAATTAAACTTGCCATTTTGAGACTCAGAGGCAACGTACAGATTGTAGGAATAAGGTAGTGTCCCTTCATTGTAGTTGAGAGAAACACCTGGTCTAGACTTAGAACAGAGACCAGACTGAAAGCAGCCCCAGGAAGCCCGATTGGTGGAGTGCCGCAGGCGAAGGGCGATGGCCAGAATCAAGGCCATGAGGAAGAGCACGGAAATCAGTGCCAAGGCCACCACCAGATAAAACTGCAGCTTTTCTTGAGGGTCAGAAGATGTGTGATGGTCCCTGAGGTCTGGCAGAGCCTCCTGAAGACTATCAGCAAATACTAGCAGCAGCGTGGCGGTTGCCGAGAGGGGCGGCTGTCCACCATCGCGCACAGCCACCACCAGGCGATGGCGGGTCGCATCCCTGTCACCCAAGACGCGAGCGGTGCGGACCTCGCCCGAGCGCAGCCCCAGGCTGAAGAGGCCGGGATCGCTGGCCTGCAGCACGTGGTAGGACAGCCAGGCATTGTGTCCAGAGTCGGCGTCCACCGCCACCACCTTGGTGACCAGGTAACCAGGCTCGGCGGCGCGCGACACCATGTCGAAGAGCGCCGAGCCGTCTGGCTCCAGCGCGGGGTAGAGCACGCGCGGCGCGTTGTCGTTGCGGTCGCCCACCAGCACGCGCAGGCTGGCGTTGGCGCGCAGCGGGGGCGAGCCCTGGTCGCGCGCCTGCACAGTGAGCTGGAAGGAGCGCAGCTGCTCGTGGTCGAAGGCGCGCTGGGCGAACACCACCCCGCTGTGCGCGCTCACCGACACGTAGGACGACAGCGCGCCTGGCTCCAGGTCGCTGGCCAGGATGGAGTAGGACACTTGGCCGTTGGGCCCCAGGTCTGGGTCGGAGGCGCTGACTTGGGCGATGGAGGCTCCGGGAGGGTTGTTCTCAGCCACGTGGACCAAGTAAGAAGCCTGGTTGAAAACGGGAGCGTTGTCGTTGACATCTCGGATGTGTAGGGTGATAGTTGTGCTGGAGGAGAGCGGTGGCTTGCCTTTGTCAGTGGCTATGATGGTGACATTGTACTCTGGAGTCTGCTCCCGATCCAGAATCCCATCTGTTACAAGCTTATAGTAATTACTAGCGGATGGTTCAATCCTAAAAGGAACTTTTTCTTTTATGAGACAAATGACCTCCCCATTGTCTTCTGAGTCTTTATCATGGCTTTTGAACAGTGCAACCACGCTTCCAGGTTTAGTGTCCTCTGCTATGGAACTGGACACGGAAGTAAAAACAACGTCTGGGGCATTGTCGTTCTCATCCAGAATTTCTAGTATAATTTCACATTCAGTGGCCATGCCACCACCATCCTTAGCTTCTATGCTCATGGTATAACTGCTCCTGGTTTCAAAGTCTACAGGGCCTTTAGATTTAATTTCCCCATTTCGATGATCTAGCATAAACTTATTTCCAATATCATCTCCTAATGATTTAAAGGAGTAGGTGATCTCTGCATTGATGCCCTCATCCTTGTCAGTGGCTGTCACCTTTAGCACCGAGGTGCCTGGGGGCATGTTCTCCCTGAGACTGGCTTTGTACACATGTTGGCTGAAGACAGGGGGGTTATCATTGGCATCAGTGACCTTAATTTGAATTTGAGTGGTGCCAGTCAGAACGGGGTCTCCCCCATCTGCTGCGGTGAGGATCAGGAGATGGGAGCTCTGTTGTTCCCTGTCCAGGGGCTTCTCCAACACTAATTCTGGGGCACTCTTGCCTTCAGCCTTGTCCTTCACCATCACAGAGAAATGCTCATTAACGCTGAGCTGGTAACTCTGGAGAGAGTGAGGTCCTACATCAGCATCTATAGCAGATTCCAGTCCAAAATGAGTGCCTGGAGTTGCAAATTCATTGATTTGTAAAACAATGCTATTTTGGGTGAAATGAGGTGGATTATCATTTATATCTTTTATCTCCACATTTACATGAAAAACATTCAGAGGATTGTCTGCTACAATCTCTAAGGGCACCACACACAGGGGGATTTGTGGACAGAGTAGCTCTCGGTCTATTCTGTCACTCACGAGAATATTTCCGTTCTCAGTGTTCACAGTAAAGTATTGTTTCTCCGCACTAATTCGAAGGTTACGAGTCAGTAAATCCCGAACATGCAGCCCCAGGTCCTTCGCGAGGTTCCCTACCACTGAACCCCTAGCCATTTCTTCCGGAATCGAATAGCGGATCTGCTCGGAGAGCCCCGTACAGAACAAAGGCAGCAGAAAGGGAAAGAGTACTTGCCGCCACGGGGTTCTGCTCCTTTGTTTCGCCCTATATTCCATCCTTCCCAAGCGCCGCGGCAGCCTCTGATGCTTCACAAATTGCTCTCTCTACATAGAAAACACGGTGCTTCCAGTTTCCGAGTATTCTGATCGTTATCAGATTTGCCAAACAGAAAACCCAACTCCAAATCACCCTCAGCTTTGCTTCTGTGGCTGCGCAGACTTTCATCCTGGTGGATCCTGGGATCCAGCTCTTGCAGCAAATTGGCCAACAGCGGCGCCTGGAGTCGATTTAGAAAATTGCAGCCAGAAACCTTGCAAACCCAGTGGGCTTCAGCATTCCCACACTTATTGGGTTGTTTGGGAACTGGGCAGTTTATGAGTTTTGGATTCATCTAGTCTCCAGTATATACTACTGAAGGTTCCTTAGAGATATGATGCAATAGTAGAGCCATTAACCTAGTAATTAGAGGTTAAAATTAGAGGAAATGCACCTGTTAGAAGAACCAAGGAAAGTCTTCTTTCTCTCCAGAAAAAGATCATGTGGAAAAACAGTCCCACCACGTGCTATGGGAAATTTTTGACAACCAAGAAATGCACCTAGTATTTGATATGCAGATAATTTTCCTCCTTCAGATGACTGGAGCTTTATAGAGCATATTCAGAATAAAGATGGCGAATGCCATAAAATACTTCCCACGAATAAGAGATATTTATGAAAAGGATGAATTATTTACAGTTACTATAGAATATAAAGGTTTAACCTAGTAGGTCACTATAAGAATGTTCTGATACGCAATGTAAATGCCCCAGCATAATTTTAACATTATCTCAAAATAAAAAAATAAATATTCAAATATTTTAAAGGCAACCTTTTCTTGTCAGTTGTGGGCCTTGAACTATGGGCCTGGGCACTGTCCCTCAGCCCTTCAGTTCAAGGCAAGCACTCTACTGCTTGAGCCACAGCACCACTTTGGGTTTTCTGGTGGTGAAGTGGAGATAACAGTCTCATGGACATTCCTGCCCAGGCTGGCTTTGAAATGCTATCCTCAGATCTCAGCCTCCTGAGTACTTAAGATTACAGGTGTAGTTAGTGGCACCCAGCTCAACTTTTCCTTTTTGTTCTCAGAGTTCTTGGTTACTAGCACCCAACTTGTTTAACTTGTGCTTAAACATAAGGGACAACTTCATATCCCAAAACAATCCATATCCTTTTTGATAATCTAATTGCAGTTCAAGTACAAGGCTTTAAGTTACTTTTCAGAGTTTGGAATTCCATGACATAAAAACTACCCCTAGATGCTCAAAGTACTCCAGTATTTTTCTTGACTTCAAGACAAGTTTAGGCATTTGTCAGAATTTCTTTTTTCTCTCCCATAGTTTATTTTTGCAAAACACTACATCCTTAATTTACAATTGATTATACTAATAACAATCCTAAGTGAGAAACTTGAAAGAGAATATGAACGTGCAAGTAGCTGAGCAAAATATCTAGATGTAATGAAATAACTGAGTTGAACTAATTACATAAGTTACTTGTGATCAGATACACTAGATAAGACTCTTTTCCACACTTCCACACATATCATTCATAGTCCTTGCTCAGATAACAAGCACATTATTAGATGACTATCTGGGCTTCAGTAACAAGTTAATGAATGTAATAATTTTGCCTATTTATATGTAATACAGAATGAGCTTATATAAGAAAAGAATTTTGTATTCCAAGATAGAATGAAAATGAACAAAATATGTTGGTACTAAGTAAATAAATCATTTTTGGGAGGATGATAGGATTGCAACCAAGGCCTTGTGCATGCTAAGCACATACTTTACAAGCAGTATAAGGTAGTTTCTTATAAAATCTAAATACTTACCTCATCTCTTATACTTCCAAACTACATGAATAAATCAGAAAAGTGTAAGCATCATAGCAGATCTGAAAATAATTCTTGAGCTGTACCATATCAAAAATATTTTTATATGTGAAGGTACTATTTTACAAAGCCTTCTGTACAGACACTAAGTAAAATAATAGAAGGAAATATGTTCTGTTATTCAATTATTTCTTCAGATAACTTAATGACTTCACTGTAGTAACAGAAAAGTTATCTGGAATGTAGAAAAAGAAGTTCTCCAGTTCTTCTCCCAAGAAATGCTCATAATTAAAACCCAGTCAATAGGATTGTAGGATGAAGAAATAAAACAAAGTTGAAATACTTAACAAGATCTGAGTATATCATTGGCCATCAAAAAGTAAAATAATTGTCATGTGTTCAGTAACAAAAACTTTTCATGCATTAAGTATATCTGGGTATTGCTAGATAATGAGGAAGAGCTAGAACATATGCTATCAAATAAACATAATTAAAATTGAGCATTAGAAATCATAGTAAATAATTATATACTATCAGTCAGTTTTAATAACTGAAATTGAAATAAATAAAAATATTTATGGGTCATTAACTTCAATCATGACTAGTTTGCTTTGATAGCAAACTACTACACTGTGTTAAGATATGAGAATCAAGGTTCAAAGCCAGCCTAGTCAGGAAAGCCCATGAAACTCTTATTTCCAATTACCCATCAGAAAAACTGGAAGTGGAGCTATGGTTCAAAGTGATAGAGTGCTAGCTTTGAACAAAAGAGCTCGGGGACAGTGCCCACCCTGAATTCAAGCCCCATGACTGACCAAAAACGAACACCCCCTCCAAAAAAAAAAAAAACAACTAAAATTCAACTCAATGCAAAGCAAGCCAAATAAGTTAAGTTGACCCTTTGAAATGAAAAGAAATGTGCCAAGACTTTAAAAAAACAACCTCCACAAGGTCTTTCTGAAAATGATGATAATCTGATGAAAGGTAAAGTATACAAGCTCATATTATACCTTGTTCTAATTACAAATTGCTCTAATTACATATGAACTAACTATCCCCTCCCCAAACTCAGTTTTCATAAACAACTCAGTACCAAGACATCAACAACTGGGATGCAGAGAACTATATCTCACCTGATTATTGGTTGGGTCACATTTACCTAAAATGGTAGCTGGATCTTCAGCTATCAAGAGAGGCTCACTTTTCTCACAGCTCTCCTGGCTGATGAGTGTGTCAGCATAGTTGGGTTGTGGGAAGATTAATTGGCTTTTCCGAGAGTCTGAGGTAAGGCAAACCTCGTGAGAATAGGTCTGCAGGAAAGCACGCACCCCATCCACACCCACAAAGTGTGAAGCCTGCACACCTTGTAACCCACTCGCGTCCTGGAGCAGGCGTGATGTATGCCAGCGTCGAAGTCTGAGCACCAGGAGCACCATGACAAAGATGAGGAAGACACAGGAGACTGTGGTGATGGCCACAACTAGGTACAGTGTGAGGCCTGACTCATCATGGCTGGTGGGAACCTCCATACTGCCCAAGTCGGCCAGGACATCTGGGATGCTGTCAGCCACAGCCACAGTGAGCGTGACAGTGGCTGACAGGGGGGGCTGGCCATGGTCCTGCACAGCCACCACAAGGCTCTGCTTGAGGCTATCTTTTTCCACAAGTGTCCGAGCAGTGCGCACCTCTCCTGTGTGCAGCCCCACAGAAAACAGCCCTGGCTCACTGGCTTTGAGCAGGCGGTAAGAGAGCCAAGCATTCTGTCCTGAGTCTCTGTCCACTGCTACCACCTTGGTCACCAGATAACCAAGTTCTGCAGAGCGCGGTGCCAGCTCTACACCTGTGGAGCCGTCTGTGGGGAGGGTGGGGTATAAGATCTCTGGGGTGTTGTCATTCTGGTCCATCACAAACAGAGTCAGTGAGACATTGCTGCTCAATGGTGGGTTCCCACTGTCACGTGCGGTCACTCCCAGCTGTAGGTTTTGGAACTGCTCATAGTCAAAGGATTGCAGAGCATACAGCACTCCTGTGTCTGAATTGATAGATATATAGGATGACAGAGGTATCCCCTGGATCATGTCCTCTGCCAGAGAGTAGGTGACTTGGGCATTCTCTTTGCTATCCAGGTCCAGGGCAGTCACCGAGAAGATGGAGGCTCCTCTGGGGTTGTTTTCAGGAATGTAAGCAGAGTAAGAGGAGTGCGTGAAAACGGGAGGGTTGTCATTGTCATCTGCCACATTCAGCAAGAGGTGAGCTTCTGTAGACAAGGGTGGACTTCCCTGATCTTTGGCAGTCAGTGTTATATTGTAGCTCTCAATCTGTTCTCGGTCCAGTTCGTTGTTTGTTATCAACTTATAGTAATTTCCATAAGTCTTTTCTAATTTAAAAGGGAGATTGTTAGGAATGAAACAGAACACCTGGCCATTTTCTCCAGAATCTTGATCTTGCACATTTAGAAGAGCTATCACAGTACCAGGAGGCGAATTTTCTAGCACTGAAGTAATAGAAGAGGTGATAGTTATTTCTGGAGCATTGTCATTCACATCCATGACGGTAATCAAAATCTTAGCAGTGGTCAGCAAACCTCCACCATCTTGGCCTTGAACTTCCATCTCATAGAACCTGTATTTTTCAAAATCCAGAGACCTTCCTAGTAGAACTTCTCCAGTTCGAGAATTCAGCTGGAAGGTTTCAGAAGCTTTGCTTTGCATATCCCCGAATGAATACATCACTTCACCGTTGGTCCCTTCATCTGGATCTGTTGCATTTACCACCAGCACGCGAGCCCCAGAGCTGAGGTTTTCCGGAACACTCACTTGATACACAGACTTCGCAAACTTAGGTACATGATCATTTACATCGAGGACTACAACGCGAACGGGAACTGCGCCCTTGAGGATGGGCTCTCCTCCATCCAAGGCTGTGAGGAGGAGGTGGTGAGATGCCTCTTTCTCCCGATCCAGGCCTCCCTCCAGCACAAGCTCCGGACTCTTGGTCCCATCAGTTCTGCCTCGTACGTGCAAAGAAAAGTAGCTACTTGGGCTGAGCTGGTAGCTCTGGAGCGAGTTCACCCCCACATCTGGATCCCTAGCGTTAGGAAGAGGAAACCGCGATCCAGGAGTTGCATGCTCACTGATTTTTATCTCTACCTCCTCTTCCCGGAAGCTGGGGGCATTATCATTAATATCAATTATTTCCACCTCCACTCCGTAAATCTTCAAGGTGTCCTCCACAAGAATCTCTATGCTTAAAATGCAGGAGGACACCCACTCACACAGCTCCTCCCGGTCGATCCTACCAGCCGTGACCAAGCTGCCGCCTCGCGGATTCAGAGCGAAGAGCTGCATCTTTCCTTTGGAGACGATGCGGACTCCGCGCTCCGCCAGCTCCTGGGGCTCCAGCCCCAGGTCCTTGGAGATGTTCCCCACGAAAGACCCTTTGTCTATCTCTTCTGGCACAGAGTATCGGATCTGCCCGGCTCCAAACTCCCGCAGTGTTCCCAGGAAAATGCACAGGAAAACCAGCCCTCTGCGGTTCAAGCTCTGTGGCAGATTCGCCATGGCAGGGTCGGAGCGGATATTCAGTGCTGTCTCGAGCCCGTTTGTTTTAAGAGGCTGTGTCCACGAGATCCTAGGTCGTTCGCATCAAAAGTATACTGGGAAGCGAAGGAAAGTGCTTTATTTCCCAGCATCCGGATGTGTGAGTATCCATCTCATTCTGCTTTGTGTGGTAGAGGTTGGGGAGAGGGACGCAATAGCTCGCTGCCTTGAATTCCCTTATTGGTGAACAGCGTCGCCTAGAGTCCAGTTTTATTGTTGCAACCACTAAGAAAAATGGACTCGCTGATTCCAGAGGAAATTACTAAACTTACCTC